CGCCGAGCTCCCTCGCTGCCGCCTCTTGCCGGCAACCGTGCCGCTCGACCGGCCCCGACCTCCTCACGCCACCTCGCGCCCTCCTCCGTCCTCTCCGGTCATCGCCGGAGTCGCGAGCTCGCCGGAGAGATCCGCCGCCCGGATCTGGTGAGATTGGATCAGATCCACCAATCCCGTGATCCAAACGGCCCCCTCGTCCCGGATATCCTCATCCCGTGTTGACTTTTCGCGGAGGTAAATTCCACTAAGTCCCTGAAGTTTCCAGATTCATATGCCCATATTCATCGCATCATAACTCTGCACTCGTAGCTCCGATTCGCGCGTGTAGCATTTCAAAATGTTCGTCTCGACGAGTACAACATTTCGTCTCATTGAATCATTTGCATTTGAGCTCATCTTGATGCCCGAAATGCTGTTGGAAGAGGGCTATGTGATGATTATGTCAGATCTGTTTCAGCAAATGGCATTTTGTCATTTTTGTCATGATTAGTGTGTGCATGCTATGATCCTGAGCTCTACATGTGTTTTGTTATATGCCATGCCATCTTTATAGAGGTGTATGCCATGTATTTTTGTGATCTTTTTGGTGACTAGTACAAGCATGCAAAGTAGCTTACTCGATGATGCTGATTTCAGGGACTCAGAATTTCACCAAGTCCTTGTCATGTTATTGTTTTTATGCCTTATGTTCATGTTGTTTCCTAGTGATCCGTGCCTCTTTTGAGAATGATCAGTAAGGATGTTTTGTTAATATTGTTGTGCTCTATCCATCCATATCTTTGTTTGCAATTATGGAGCACCCTAGCTTGAGCCAATCGAGCTCTACTTTTACTATAAAATGTTTCTGGCAGATTGTTAACATGTTTAGCGATTTTGCCGAGGTTGTTGCTATTGATCTGTGCATGCTATGTTGTTGTTCCTGCCATGTCTAGCTTCTATGTCATGTCTTCTTGCTGGATGTATGCTTACTTTGTCTTGCAATGCCTCGTAGTGAGTGCATCGAGTTCGTAAACATGCCTACTCGTTAATCTATTTTGCATGCTCCAGTTTTTCACTAAGTCTAAATCTATTTATGTTTTTACTATGTTCGCATGCTTGCAATTGTATTTTCTGATCCCTTTTGGCTCATGGTCACTAAGGGACTTTTGTTATATGCTTAGAGTAGCTTCATACCATGCCTTACTTTGCCATGATATGTTCCTGTAGCATGTAGTTATCAGGCTCTAAAGTTTGCTTCCTGATGATAAATTTCAGACTTATGTTAATTTCACTAAGTCTGAAACCTGTTATCGTTTGCACTTTTGCCATGTTTGTTTGAAACTGCTATTGATTGAATTAGCCATAGCTCAGTGTTCACCTTTTGTCAAGCATCATGAGTGGATCCCTGCCATGTATTTTGTTGTCATATTTGAGTGTTGTAGCATATTCATCTTGATGCATTTAGAAGGCCACTTGCTGTTTATCGCAGTCCGGTGCCATATTTGTTTTGCTTGCTATTTTCAAACCGTGCATCCGATTCCGGTGATCTTTATATCGATTTCGACCGAAATCACCTCATCTTTCTAGTGGCACTCTTGGATTTTCTAAGTTGAGGCCAGGTTCAATCATTCCTTTGCAAATCATGCATATGCATCACATACCGCATACCGCATATCATACCATGTTCGTGTGTTGGTTGTTTACTATGTTGTGTGTGCTTCTTTCCGGTGTTGCTTCTTCGGGTTGGTTCCGTTAACGTCGCGTTTGTGAGGACCCATTCGACTACGTCCGTTTGTCTTCTTCATGGACTCGTTCTTCTTCCTTGCGGGATTTCAGGCAAGATGACCATACCCTCGAAATCACTTCTATCTTTGCTTGCTAGATGCTCGCTCTTTTGCTATGCCTATACTGCGATACCTACCACTTGCTTATCATGCCTCCCATATTGTTAAGCCAAGCCTCTAACCCACCTTGTCCTAGCAAATCGTTGTTTGGCTATGTTACCGCTTTGCTCAACCCCTCTTATAGCGTTGTTAGTTGCAGGTGAAGATTGGAGTTTGTTCCTTGTTGGAACATGGATATTTTGTTGGGATATCACAATATCTCTTATTTAATTAATGCATCTATATACTTGGTAAAGGGTGGAAGGCTCGGCCTTATGCGTGGTGTTTTGTTCCACTCTTGCCGCCCTAGTTT